TGAATAATTAGGGATGAATAATGAATAAAAAATTGTATAAAATCTATATATTTATGTACGATTTTTAGGAAAAATGTTTTCACGTTCTTCCTGAAATGATCGGCTTCTTCCAACCCGTTCCCTGTAATAGTTAAAAGCTAGGATTTCGTCATATTTCGACTCACCATAAACTGGAAATAAAAACAAAAAGTTAAGAATGAAATACAATAATTTTATTAAATATTTTTAAAAATCATTAACAATAACAAACAAAACATATTAAGTCGTTTGTTTCAGTTAGATAGTAATCTTCCTTTTTTAGACTTGCCCGAGATAACGTATTAAAATTAACCTATTGTTATTTTAATTCATGAGATTAAGATGATATTCACTATTATTATTACTGTCATATGTAGTAATATTTAACATTATGTTGGTGAAGCCAAGCCTTTATAAAATTAGTTTATCTGCTGTGCCATTCCACATCAAAATATTTGAGTTAAATTCTAAACATGAATTTAAATAATCTGCCGATTATAGCCCACAATTCCACGTTATCGCTCTTTTCAGCTCCGCTAGTACAGCAAACAATTGATCGGGTTTTTTTAAAAAAAATTTTTTAGAAAACATATTTGATTTGTTTATATCTTTTCATCCATTATCGTTGATTTTCCATGTGGCGAAATGATAATTGGTTTCCCTTTTAATCTACATACAATTGTATTTTGTACTTTATCAAGAAGATTGTAAACGCTCCTGATATCAAAATTATATTGGTTCGCTGACAATTTGAAAATTCAAAGTCTACAATTTTAATATTTTGGCGATTCCTGAAAATATGAAATACACTATAAAATTGTCAGCGTTTTTATGTCTATTCTATTTTTAATAAATATGTATCAAATATATTTAAAAACTGATTACCTATATTTTAAAATATTCATGAAATTAAATATACCTATACTGTATTATATTAAATAATCTGTAAAAGTATTTAAAACTAAATATACTGAATTTTTCACATTTTCTCTTGTGTTTAATTTGAAATGTACGAACGTACATTTTAAATATCTATCACCATTCACCACCTAGACTAAATTCCCTGAATTTACTTTTATTATATAATTTGAACAAAACTTCGACCCAGTAATTATTTTTTAAAAAAATACAAGTTTTATTTGTTTCATAGTATGATAAATTTAAAATTTTCGCAATATTTAAATGAAATTCGGTTATGTAAACATCTCTATCGCAACGATAATTGTTATGTTTTAATTTTTTATAAATTGAAAGTGGCCAAATATATTTAAGTTGAAGTGTATTTCTATTTACAAATTTCTTACTCTGATATTTTATATGATTCCGCAATATTATATGATAAATTAATATACCAATTTTATGATTCAATATGTTTTTCGAACTAATTGTATCTGTCATAGCTATACATTTTATGTTAATCTTCAATTGTAGTATTTTATTGATATTTAAAATTAATGAATATACTATAGAATTTTTTGCTTTTTATATTTACTTTATTTTAATAAATAAATATATAAAAAAAACCTATTGTTATTACAAGCTAATTTTGAAAAGTAACAATAAAATACTTTAAAAACTTACATGGATTTGTAGTGATCAGCGTGTCGATTAACCTGTAATTTCAATGTCTTGAGCGAGAGTATAATACTACTACTAGGTGTAGACTAAAAATATAATCTTTTCGAGAGTTCGCTCCGGTATATATACTGAAATGTGTAGGTATATCCTACCGTTATTAATATGAACACAATTTTTCGTCGTAAATATATTGACATTGTGCAAAATTAGATCTAAGTAATAGTACTATAAGTTTGCATTGTAGTTTTGGCATAATATATTATTATTTATATTATAATCACAACTCATCGATCAAATGTAATAAGTATAATTGTTTCTTTAGCTAACATGCGTATTACACAGGTTTCACTATCAATTTTTTTTCTTCAAGATACAAAATGTCCACAAATTAATTTGAAAACAATTGAAAAACTTATAGAGATATTATTTGCTTTATTTTTGATGTAAAATATATATAAATCTTGTCTTATAATAAATATAAATAACTAATGAAAATACCTCTGTATTGAAAAATTTTTTATTTTAGTATAAATTATTAGGTGTTACTCATTACATATAATAATTATTTACTTATTTTAATATTTTTGCCTTCATATTATTTTTTCGAAACTGATAATCTACTATCACAAGTCAAATTCAAATAAGGAGCAACTCTTAGTAGTCTTCTTTTATGTTTGCCACCAAGATACTCATCTTTAAAGTTATGCACAAAATCTTTAGAACTAAAATGAATTGAACAAATAAATGCTGTGCTGGAATTTCACGAATGAGCCCTTTTGCATTTTCCAACCTATTGTTTCTGCACAGCAGGATCTTTTAAGATTAAGATTCAGTAATCTTAATCTTTTAACCTTTACTAAATTATAAGTATTAATTAATATACCAAATATAACATACAGTATACATTTTTACTAATGTGTAAGTGGATTTATATTTATAGGTAGTACAAATTAAGATCAATATTTTTTTATAAGTACTTACTCATGAAACGAAATATCATTCCCTTCGCTTTTTATTTTCCCTCTTCAAACAATTTTCAAAATAGCCATTTTAATTAGATTACATGAAAATAAAATAATGTAATAAGATAATACGTTATGCAATGAGGAATTACAATCAGCATAGTAATTCTTAACCTTCTATTAAATATTAATTGTTTTCATGCCTATTTCCTAGAAATTCAAACGGCTATAATTAAGAAACTATTAATCGGATATGATGCATTAAATTTTTTAGAATAATATTTTTTTAAAAAATGGCTATTTTGAAAATTTTCTGAAGTGAATAAATAGTTATTTGTTTTTTTTTGTTTTTAGGGAATGAAAATAAAAATTTAATTTTTGCCTCCCTCGAAGACAATCAGATTGGACAAAAAGCGAAACAAATTTAATATTAACACACAGTATATATAATATATACATATATTGATTCTTCAATATTATGAGCTAAATTGTCAGCAATATTCAAAAAAAATTGTTAAATATATTTGCAATAAAAATTGCACTCTCACTTAAAAAGTGATACAATTCAAAAAATTTGATTTTCCATTTTACCATGGCATACGTTTAGTAAATATTATAATATTGTATTATACAAAAACGTCAGTCTATTCCCGTTTTTTCACCAACAGATGGTGCAAATGTCACTTTTGATAATGTTACATTGTATTGCCACAAGTGTCATATCTCAGTTGCATCAAAACAAATTAAATTTGTCACGAGTTAATCTGTTATAAATTGTTTAATTAAACACGAAAATTAAAGGGAACTCGACAATAAACTCTTTAGCAGATTTAAAGCATGCTTACAGGGTGCCTTTAAAAAATAAAGAAAATAAAAAGACTGATTTGCTGACATGAGTAAAAAACAACCACATTTTGCAGTTATATGCAGATTTTTATATTTTATGATAATATTGACTACCTAAATTTATTCTAGACTAAAATTACTTTAATGTTGAGGATAAAGTTCCCTTACATAAGTCATGTTATATTATTATTACTTGTAAATTGAATTCATAACGTCCAATGATTTTTCAGTTTTGTTCTTAAATCATGTTATTAAGTTTAATTTTCATGAAATTGTTAATTTAATGAAGACAATAAAGATTCAGTTTTAGTTTAAAATAATTGACTTTCCTCAAAATAAATAGTCTTAAAAACAATTATAATATAAATTATTACATTAAAACTGGGACAGATCAAAACTTTATTAAAAAAAAAGACAAATTAAAAGTGATACTTGTTAAATAAAAATGATGGATTATTAAAATATTAAAAAACTATTCTAAATTTTAGAAAATAGTAGATAAGATAGTGAGTTTAGTGAAAAAACCAAATAAATTGATCAACTAATGAAGTTACAAAACATTTTACAAAATGTTGTACTTTCTCAATTAACTTTATTGAAAAGTCACATTTTTTGAATTATGTCACTTTTTAAGTGAGAGTGCAAATGTGAATCATTATTAAAATCAAATATGTTACCTACTTTTTAATTTAATTGTTTTAATACTTTTAGCATTATTATTCTTATCTAAGACCTGTTTAATTACTTTCAATGTCAGGTTTGGGCTAAACAAAACCCTATTAAATTCGTTCTCATAATGTTATAATTATTTGTTCTTAGTTACTCATTGCAACTTATAATAGTTTTTAATTTATTTGTATATTTTGTTATAATTTTTTTTATAGCTTCAATGCCTAACTTTTTAAATTAAAATATTTCAATTATTGTGTTGTTTTGTGAAGTCATGTGAAGATATCTACAGGTGTATATATTATAGTGTTCCAACATTGTAAGTAACTTGAAAAACTACGAGCATAACTTTATTGATATTGTCACCATTATTCTACTAAAGACTTTAAAACTCCTGGAGGAAGATAATAGCTAAACTAATGAGCTGGGCATCCCCTTTTAGATTCCTTCTCTTTCTTTACAATTCTTACAATTATTATTTTTAAATTATTACAATATAAATTAGTTATTTTTATTTTATAAACAATTATAAAATTAACTTTAAACGAATTTCATAAGGGGCATAAGTAACTAATACCATATAATAATAACTATGTAAGGTAAGCAGAAAACCATTTGTTTATTATTCCTTTTATGACCATGTCAAAAATAATAAAATGAAAAATAAAAATAAAAATATTTACTAAGATATTATTAGGGGGGGGGGATAACTCCGTAGGTTATAACATAATATACAAAAAGTTTATGAAAAAAATTTAAAATTATTAGAACATAATATGATATATTTAACTAAATAAAAACTTTATACAATTACTCAAATAATAAATTACAAAAGTAATAAATAATAATTGTTTAAACATTCAAAAAGTATTTAGTTAAAATATGAAAAAGTAATTTTTATACTTTGAAATAATAATTTTAAACAAAGGATCATTTATACATATTCAGAAAAAAAAGAAAAGGTTTTATAATAAATTGTTGATTTTAAAATGACCTTTGAATACTCAAAATGATTTCATTTCTTTGATAATTATCTGGGTATTATTCAAATGGTTTAAGTAGTAAATATTAATGTTCATTAGGTTTGCAAATTTATAATTATATATTGTTTAGACAATCATAAGTTTGCCATCAACAGAATTTCTTTTGTTCAGTGGAAATCTTTTATTTACATATACCATATAACCCTAGATAAAAAAAAAAAAAGTACATTATATTATAAGTAATATAAAATTATTTTAGTTTAACACATACACATATTACAGGAAAACAGCGAAAGCACAGTAACTTACAAAAGTATCCATCTACCTATTCTAAACAAGAGCACATGTCATTACATTACATGGACATAATAACTTTTTGTGCGCCAATACAGGTAAATATTAGCATTAATATTTAATTCAAGTTTCCAGTTAGACACATATTTAAACTCAGAAAGTATAGTGCATAGCATGTTCTGGAATAGATTGCAGAAGATATAAATGAAAAAACTTAAAATCCTAGCACAGAGATATGTAAATTTAATTTTTTTTTAGTTATTCATAGTAATACACATTTTCATGTACTTGGAATTTTTATTTTTAATTAGATATGATCATGCACAATACAATGTCTTTATCTTAAATTTTATGAGGGTGTTGCCCTCTCTGTTTAACCATTACTTATTTTTTTAGGAATTTTAATGGTCCAACTACTTTATAAATACAAAATTCGCTGGGATAAGCAATAAAATTATTTGATATTCAATACTATTTATCTCAATACTAACTAAAGTCAGTGTTATAGAAATTTAAATAACTTCGGTTATGTAGTTATATATAATAGAAAATATCTCAAAATATTGTAGCTAATGGCAAAAATAAAAAAAAATGAGTTATAGACAAATTGATTTTTTTTTTTTTTTTTAAATGAAGGTAAACTATTAAATCAGTCATATAATGTACTATTCTCCATTGAAATACTGATCTAAAACAAATAACTTGCAAAAATACAATATTGCCAGGGTTGAAAATTTGTCAGAATGTGTCTAGCAAAATGTAAAATATGCCTAATCCTATCCTATTAGGTATTTTAAAAAATTAATCAAGTATCTATTTTCAAAATCCATGATATATGTCATTGAATACAAAACCAAATATATTAAATGTTTTTATATATTTTAGTTTATGTATTAAATATTATATTGTAAGGAAAATGCAAATGTTGGTATAAAACCAAATTCTAATGCAGGATAATGTCTTTCAGTTGGAGACCTTTGAATTTAGGGTTCATGTCATCAATTATTATAACGTAACTAAAAAAAAAAATACAGGGATGTTGTAGGTGAGAAGTTGAGAAGGTAAAATACATAAGGTTACTTCATTTACACCTGTAAGCAAGGATAAACCATTTCTTGATAAAACGATTCCTTTAAAAATTAAAATTCCTTAAAAGCTTAAAAGTTGTTAAAATGTTTTCACAAAAATACTGTAAGAAAGTAAATAAAAAATGCAAAAAAAAGATGTCTTGTGATTTTTCATTATATTTTTTCTAGTAGATAAAGTTGTCTGTGTTTTTATAAAATAATTAAATTGTATATTTTTCTATGTTTATTCCCACTCAAATGCTTTTATTTAAAAAATGGAAAATCAAAAAATAACCTGTTTTAAGTACAATTTAGATAACGAGCTTCAGAAAACTTGTTACACATAAAAATCGGAAAAAGTTTACTAGGAAAAACAGGTGCACAGACTAGAAAAAAAAGTAAGAAAAAAATAAACATCTTGGTAAAACCAATAGCTCCCTTGCTAATCTAAAATAATTAATTATTATATTTTCATACTTCATCAAAAACTTAGTTTAATTTTAAAAATATTTAGTTTATTTTTATACATTTTGGTGTTTCTCTACTAACAAAAAAAATTTCCACAAAAGAAAATTGAGGTCCTGAACATTTATAAAACAGATAATAGTACATTAAAGAATGAAAAAACGAATAGGCAAACAAAATAAGTAATTTTTAAAGCATTTGGGCAAGCATTTGGACAAGGTGTAAATTATATAGACTAAATTTAAATCAAACATAAATACTTACAATTCAGAGTTTATATTTTTCGATTTTTTAAATAAGGTTACATGCAATACTTGATTCTGATTATTCTAGACCAAAAGTTTTAAATGTATATATTTATTATTTTACTAAATTGTGATTATGTTTTATCAATATATTTGTTTGAAATTATTGGCTAATATTACTTACCAAAATTATGTTCTTGTCAATTTTAACCATAATTGTATTATTATGAATCATTTCCGAAAAAGCAATTGTAACATTTTCTTCAAATTTGTCAATCTCATTGAATCCAGCCAGACAACACTGAATTGCCTGGCATTGTAAATCACAAAATTCTTTTTTCAGGAATCTTAGATTTTTCTTTAGTATGCAATTCATAGTACCATAGTCAACTTGAATTACCTAACAAATGTGGTTTATAAAATATGACAACATGTAATTCAAAACATTTCAATAAATAAAATTACCTGGACATGTGTTGAATTTACTTCACAAAGAATTTTAACTCTTCGCCATTTGTTTACAGATTCAGTATAAGAAGTTGCATAACAGGAACCAACTAAAACGTGTTCTGGTTCAACACAGTATTTTATATTTGCTTCATCATAAAAACTTCTAAGAAAACACAAACAATGATCATTACAGTATTACCATGTAAATGTAATGTAAAATATTCATATAATGGATTGAAAAAAAAAATTATTTTATTAATATGTACTTACTCCATTTGTTTTATTAAAATATTAAAATCCTCTCTTTTACTACATAATTGCATAAAGAATAAACTTGGGAAATATACTTCAGATAATACCATGGCTATTTCAGAATCATCATGAACTAATGTCTGGTGTAAGTGTAATGAAATATGTTCATTATTATTTGTTAATACAATAGAAATAATTTTGTTCTAAAAAATAACAGATCAAGTTAGGATTACTCAGACAACTTAAAACTTATATAATATATATAAATATTTTAATTGTTTACACCAAAAATTAATGCCATAATACAGTTATTACAAAACATATTATAAGTATAATTTTGTATAATATTAATTTTTCATTTACTCTTAATTAAATTATTCAACAAAAACAAGCTAAGTTCAGCATTTCTAAATAAAGCAGCCAATACATTTATTTTAACAATAAACAAATTAAACTAATTTGGTTCACAAATCTATCTTTACACACATAAAAGACAAATATAACATAAACATAATATTACAGAGATAATAATGTATAGTTAAAGTTTATTTTAATTAAATTATATACTTGAGAATTGATATATGGCTGTGTATTTGACCAGTTTTCGGTTTTTATCAATTCATTATAGTTTGGAATATTAGTATTTTTATACACCACATTATTTCGTACTTTATAATGTTGATCCAAATGTTTGAAAAATTCAATAGATGAGTTAAAACCATAATTTTTTGGTTCAAATTTGGAGTGATGCATTTTCTAAAAAGTTTATTTTACAATAATTTTAAACAAAATATTTCATATACTAGTAAAAAGTAATTAATTTTTATTTGATTTAATTTACTAACCATATAAACAAATGAAAACAAAATATAATTCATTGAGTCATAGTAAGCTCTGAATACCATTGCAATTTTCCACAGAATGTCTTCTGGAATACTTGGAAATTGAATCATGTTTGAAGATTTAATTACTAAACATAATATTTTAACAAAAAAATAATAATAATAAATTCATTGTTAAACAAAATGATTATCAATGTTATTATAAGCACTAACTAATCAATTTAGTTATCAGGTATTAAACATTTCTTAAATAAAAGAGCAAATTAATAATATAATATTATTTTTGGGGAAACTAGACATTCACAATAGCCTTGGCACAACAAAATTTGTTGTTTTTCCAATGGCTATAGGTACCTCCCTAGTGTTCATTAATAACTAAAAGAACAATTTTTTTTATAACAAAAACAATTGTTATGGAGAACATTTTAAACTATCCATGTAAATGTAATAAACAACTTTGTAGGTAAAATTAATTATTGTAATTATATATATATTTAAAAGTTTACTACAAAATAATAGTTTAATTATGTGCACTATCATCAATTAGTCAATAACACAGTCATTAATATTAAATCATACGAAAAACATTATATATTAATTAAACCTTATTATGTTATATTCAAATTATACTTCTGTCACAATAACTATGTACCATTGTACCATATGTGTCATATTTAAATCAATAAAAGACAATTTCAATTCAAAATACTATAAAAAAAAAACCCCACTTATTATCTTAAACAGTTTAGTCTTAACATAAACTTAAGCTCCAATTAACCATGTTCATCTATACCTATAAGTGCATCTGTTGTATTTAATTCAACTCTACCTCATATTTTTTTATACTAATTATTTCAATTTAAACTCAATAAACAACCTGGTTATAACATCAAGATTATATGTTACATGTTTTATTTCACCATATCAAGATCTTACTCAGAACATATATCTACACATCAGCCAAGAAAGAAGTATATATAATTATTACTTTAATTAAACTCACCCCCCCCTGTATTGTTGTAAGGAGTGGACTAATTCCATCTTATTATAAAGTAGTGAACATAATATTTGGATCCTAGTCCTTAATGCTATTTTTTTGACTCATTACAATAGTCAAAGGTAAAATTTATGATACTAAATTAAAATAATACTACATTGCCAGCTAATTTTTGTCAGTAATATGAATTAACTTTTAAACTAATTTTCAAAACTTATTAGTTATATTAATACTTATGTATTATATATACATTAAAATTTGCAATTTAAAAAGTAAATAAATAAATAAAATAATTACTCACCATTTTTAATATCATCAGAATAATTTTTTTTTGGAGTAGAATGAGCAAATGATACTGATTTTGACTTACACATGTCTGCCTTAAAATGTATAAATTATTTATTAAAACAGTAGATTCAGGTTATTTAAAATTACTCATTTAGATTTGGTTGTAATGATAATATGTGTAATTGTAATAATATATGTATAAATTAATAATTAAGTAGGTACTACATTAAGTTATATTATATCACATAGGATAAACAAAATGTTTAAACATTAAAATATCTTTCAATATTGGTAAATCCATAATTAATGAGTGTTCTACATTTTTAGAACCTTACTGGTATCATTTAAGTAAATTAATAGAAAATATCTGTGGCATTTTTTCTGAAGGGGTATAATTTTATAGTTTGAAAAAATAGACAGGAAGTTACCAACACAATGTCCAGAGCAGTATTAAGGGATTGGCAAGACTAAATCAAACTATGAGTGCATCATAAAAATAGTGCAAAATCCAGAATTTATATATAATAGAAATTCACGATTTTAATGAAAATTACACTATAAGAGCAGACATTTGTATGATGTCAGAGGCTCCAAAAATCCTTGGTACATATTTAACAATCTCATACACATATAAATAAAAATGTAAAATTAGAGTTTTATATTTTCTTACTTACATTAGCTGAACTATCATGGGATTCAATTCCGCTAGAGTTTTTTAGTTTATCATTTATATCTTGTCTAATTTTTGCTTGTCTTTTTATGTAATCAATTTTACTTTTAATTTGAGCCATAGAATTTTTATTGCAATTGGAATCTTTAAGTGTACTCAACATAGTTTGAACCTTGCATTTATTTACAAAGTCATTTATTCTTCTAGTAGGCTTGTTTGTTATACTACTTGTTTCATCATCACTATTATGAATAAAATTTGTTTCATTATTGTTATGATTATCTGATTTAAAATTAATTTGATGTTTTAATAATTACATTTTGTTCAAAACAGTTGTAAATTTGTTATTAATAGAGTGATTCCCATTAGCAAATTGTTTAGAATTATTTATGCCAGATAGCTTTAAAGATGTGTTTGGGGCATCTGTAAATTAAAATTATAAAGACAATTTATTCTCTTATATAATAAATACTAATATAATACATCAAATGTCATTAATATATAAAACATACAATTTTTTTTAAAATCAATTATTTGAAAAACTATTTCAGAAAGTAAGGATTTTTAATAGATACTTTTAGAATAAAGTAATATATTATTAAAATTAATACAATTGTAATTTAACAATAATTTTTAAATGTATAGTTTTATTAAGTACATTACAGAACAAGCTGAAAAAAACAAAAATAAATCAAACTGCTACAGGAAAACTATGTGTCTACATATTAGTAGACATATTAATAGATTATTATATTTTATATATTCTATTATTTAATAATAACACCAAATAAATTTAATAAATATCCAGTGTTTATTTTGTCATTAGAGCTTAGAGAGAATTATTTAAATTAATAAGAAGACTAAAATATTAAAAATCTTTTATAATTACACAAGGTATAATGACAACCCAATTAATAATAGTTATTCACTGACTGAATAGAATAAAATAAAATATTGTGATGAAAACAAAAAATTATATTGAAACACTTTCTAAAACTACATTTACATATTATATATTAGGGTATTTAAGAATTATTTTTTTTTATTAGCTGTTCTACTTCTTGTAATATTGTGTTCCTTAGAGCTTAATATTGTTATTCAATTTTTTTCAGACTTATTAAGGTAACAAGTATTGTTTTCCCAGAAAAAAGTTGATTTTTTTTTTGTTTTTAATTTTTATGTGTGTAAGTAATAGTTTTTAAGGAGAGATCATTAGATCAAAAATTATCAAAAAAAAAAAAAAAATAAAATAAAAAAAATACATCTAATATTTTTTTCAAATTAAATAATCTACCTTTTACTTCTCGTTTAGACCTTTAACAGTAAATTTTTGAATAATTTTGATAAATAAACCCTTTCAACCACCCTTAAATATATTTTAGAGGTTAAAAATATACTTATGTAGTGAGTTAAACTTAATATGATTTCAAATAAAATTATTTTTACAATTATTATGGAAAAGTATTGAATAAATATGAAATTTAAATATCAATTTGATATAATAAGTTTTATACATATTTATATAATTTTAAAATAACATTGGAAATTGTTTGAAATTTACTTCGTTATCAATATTTAATGATTATTGGTGTTATCACTACAATGATGGATATCTGATTGCATTGTATGATGTATATGCTATTAATTATTACTATGTGGTTATTTGATAGTTTCAATATACACTCCAATGCAGACATCCTACCATTAAAATGAACAATTTTGCATAATTTTCTTGGCTTATATGTGACAGAAAAAATATGTTCTATATACAATATAATTTTTCTGGTCTGCATTAAAAACAAAAAAAAATTCTGAATTTTTCAATATTGCACCTTTATTTCTTTTCATATTTATTACATAATAAGTGTTGGTTATTATTTTATAGTTATTACAGTTATTATTTATTTCATATTTATAATTATTATTGTATTTATTATTTAATTATTTATTTTCATTTTGTATTAATTCATCTATGTATATTTACTATCTATGCTTGCCTATGTTATTTAAAATCGACATAGTGTATCATAGTTTATTGTAAAAGGAGTAATTCCATTGAACTAAACAACTGTGAAAATAATTTTATTTAAAGTCATATCAAGTCTAACTGCCTAAACAAATATAACCATTCTCTTGATAACTAAATGGAAAATAAGTTTAAAATATTTTCAATCCCTAAAATATATTTAAGGGTAGTTAAAAGGGTTCATTCATCAAAATTATTCAAAAATTTACTTTTATAGGTCTAAATGAGAAGTAAAATGTATGATTTTTTTGATAATTTTTGATTTAACGATTTCTTATTAAAAACTATAATTTACACACATAAAAATAAAAACAAAAAAAAACTCAACTTTTTCCGGTAAAATAATACTTGATACCATAATAAGTCTGAGAAAAATTGGGTAAAACTATTAAGCTCTAATGAATACAATATCATGAGAAGAAAATATGATTAAAAAAAATTCTGAACACCCTCTTATATATATATATATACACAGTGAACGTCATTTATAAGACTCATAGATATAAGATTCAGTCACTTATAAGACTCAAATTCTTCTTAAGACTTCAGTTCATTTAGTTATACAATTTACTTTGTGCTGGTCCTTAAGTGAGTTTTATAAGCATCACCACCATATATTGGTTTATTTCGGTTATCTAGACTGCCTAAAATTTACCAGTTATTTCAACATAACCTATTGAAATACTAAAATTAAGGTTAGTTTTTTAATAAAAGTATAGTTCTCGTACTTTCAGTGAGCCATAAATTGAACATCAACAAATAATCAATCAGCCAAAAATTTTTGTTGAAAAATATTGAATTTTAATTAAGAATAAACCTAGATTTGTTAGCAAAACCAAAGGTAGATAACAGCAAATCAAACTAATCAATTACACTAGGTAGTGGAAATAATTGAAAAATACCAATAAATATTTAATTATTAATGACGTAATTAAAACACATATTTTCTAAAAATTACAATTCAGATTTCAAAATCCAAAATTTAGATTTTATAAATCTGGTTTTGGTTATTAAATATCTAAAAATTTAATATTTTAGCGTTTTCTATAATTATAGAACGTTAAAACATGATTATTTTATAAAACAAAAAATGCATAAATGAATCCAAAATTAGTTTCAAAAAAAATAATCTGAATTTCCAACGTTTTAGTTCGTATATAGAAAAATTCTTGAACTGGTTAATCCAGATTTTACACATTAATAGTAAATATATATTATGTATACATAAGTATTTAAAATATGAAAATGAAAATTAGCAAATATATTTTTCATACCTGAAACATGACTAACAAAGCTACTCTTTGGCTTTTGTATGTCATTTTGATCTGAATAAGAGAATGACTTATTTGTATCTTCAGAATAAAAACTTTTACTCCTTGTTAATGGTTGGCTGGTGTGATTAATTGAAGGTCTACTGGTACTTTTACTTCTGTTGTAGTAATTTGTGTTATGTGATGAGTTATTATGGCAACTATTTCTATTTTCCGATCTTCTTGGTTTCCCACGTTTAGTATTTGGTTTTTGATTAGCAATAAGTTGTATTAAATGATCAGATTTAGTTTCACCAACCAAAGATACTAAAGAATATTCCTTTGGATTTGAGGGTATCTAAAAATGTAATAAACCATGTATAAGTACATCGTTAATAATTTTGAATTAAATTATAGGAAATAAATTTCAAAAAATATCCAAATCACCTAAGAACATAGTTAATAAAAAAAAACCTCGAGAAAAACTTACAGAGAAGGTATCACTCATGTTTTGAATAAGTTCAATTACCGAATTGAAACCAAATCTCTTGTAGGGTAATTGACGTCCTTCAATGGTATAATAGTCCTTTCGAAGTTCTTCAATACTTAGTCTACTTCGCGAACTTATTATAATACTTCGTAAAGATTGTTTAAGTTCATCCATAGCGTTCGAATTGCTTGCCATGATTACCTACCTAGTATAGCCACGGTTTTACAAAAGTAAACAAATTGTAATACAACTTTATTACAAAAAAAAATACTTAATTTTACTCAAAGTATGCAAGTATGATTAAAGATAAATAGTGTTGAAACTTGTAGTAGTATTATTAAATCATGGTGTCGAGAATCAATGCGGAGAAAAACTATCGGTGTGCCGTTCAAAGCATTGCGGTGAAAATTACGAGAGGATCGTACAGTATGCGGTAGTGGCCATGCGGTTAGAAGAGACGTCGTCGTCCGAGAAGATACCCATTCATAAGATGATTATAATCAAATGTTTGATAAATGGTCGACGGTGTTGCCAATCGCCCGGTTCGATATCAAGCGGCCGTCGATAATGTGAATGCCAAAAATAAAACGCGATCGAATTAATATTATTATTCAGAGCGGACGAAATAGGTACATTCAGCAACAATGTACTTTACCTGCACGGCGCGTTTGGACGGCGGGATATGGTGAGACCGTGGGGTACTACGCGTTTCGGCTGCCGATCGTTTCGATAGTGAGGACTTGTCGTGCGCTTGGCGCCCGTCGCGCCATTCTGTGTTTACGGTAGTATGTGCCCATTGTCGATATTGTTCATGTTTTCACTTAAACGTTCAAAATAATAATATGGTACATACACGAAGAAAAAATAAAAAACAAACTCAGTAGTATTATCCCGGAATCGAAATGAATCGAATGCATTTTACCAACCAATGATCGGATTTCGGTTTGTTTTTTTTTTCCCCCACTTTCTATTGTGTCTAATACGGTTTCTGACGTTACTTATCCGGCTCATACTACGCAAAATGTTGTTTTGATGACTAGTACTTACTTGGTAACTACCAAATAAAAGTTTAAAACTAGGGAATTTATTTATCTACTTATTCAATGGCGAATAGAATATATTTTTAGATTCTAAGCGTTTTTAGGAATGTTTTACAATGATGTTAATTATTTTTATTTTTATTTTTTATCCATGGACAACTTGAGTAACAAAAATCCTGCCCCAATTTTCAAGTATAGTAGCTTTTCTAATAGGAAATTTTTTCTTGGTCCAGAAGGAAAAAGTCTATTTTTTGATATTCCAAGTGGTTATCATAATAATTTGGAATGCCCGAGAAAAAACACAGAAAACGAAAAAATGTACAAAAAGTATTTAAAATGTTTAATGTAAAATGTTTTTAATTTTGTTTTTTTATGATTCAGTTAAAAACTTCATAGATGTTCACAAACAACTACTGTTTAATTTTTCTAGACGTAGTAAAATGTTCAAAACATTTAAGCCATTTTTGAGTTATTTATAGGCATTTAAATTTTATGAATTATATACATGATTTATATTCGATAGGTAATCTGTGGATAAAATTGTTAGACCAATTACACATGCTTGACAATTTAACAGAAGGTTTAATATTAAATTGTACTTTGAAGAATAAAACATTGAGTGTCGTGTAAAATTCTTTTTTATAAAAATTTGAAATGTTTACGAAAATTATAAATATAACGCTCCGAATCGACTATCCTTGATTACAGATATATATTGAATAACCTTATGTATCTCATCATCCCAACTTCCAACCTACAACAGCAGATGCACCTGTCTCCAATATTAGCTCTTTTAGATTCGGAGCTAAAGATCTAACTTGGTTTTACTATGATGTATTTTAGATTTGAGTGGAACGAAGAAGCCTGTGGTTCTGTTAACAACTTTTCTACCAGAATACTTGCTCAGATTACTACGTGTAGCACTTTTTCTGAAAGGAAATCAATTTGGAGAGGTATTCTAAGAAGGTAATTTTACTATTTTCTCAAGAGTTTTCTCAACAAAATTTGAAAAACCGAAAAAACCGAAAAATATAAAAGATATAGGTATTAGTTTAAATATATTACGGCCTTCTTTTTTTCTGTGCACAATTTTCCTACCAGAAATTTTGTTCCAACTTGATAGCAATGTTTCTAGATTTCACTAGGAAAGTACTTTAGAGAAGTTATTTTTCGATTTTCTCAGGAGTTTTTCCAGCAAATGTGAAAAACCGGGATAAAACATGGGAATACCAAAAAAAACGTTGGAAAATTGGGAAAATCAGTACAACATTAAATAAATATTATTAAAGAAAATGTATAAAGCCTAGCTAATTATTTTACTATAAAGTGACATATGTATATATTGTTGACAAAGCATCATTATCAACTAAACGCTGCTCAGAATTGGTTTTTGTTAGCAATGGTTTAACGTTGCTTACAGGTGTACATTAAATTACCTATAACAGTGGCTGCATTCGTCTCCATTATATTAGGATAGCTTTTTATGGTTTAAACTATCTCAAAGAGGTTATTATAGTATATGAATAAGTTTATCCGGTAATCATTCTTATCATTATATTTTAATTTACAGATTCATTACAAACTTTTTTGAGCAAAACATTTATATATTACAGAGCCATTATAATTAACAGGCATCTGTAATATACAAGCTATTAAAATTGTTTACAAAATGTTTGTGCAACCTGGCCTTATACCTCTATAACCCCGTATGCATAGAAATCTAAAATCGTATTTATTATATTATATTACAATATAGTGTGAATACGTCACATTTGATTTTAACATTAAAATTTTAAATGCATTTGTAGATGCAATCTAAATGCATGTTGTTAGGTCACCATTGAAGCGGGAGTCAGGCAGGTAGGACAATATAATGGAGCGAACTGACGTTCAAAATCAAATGGGTACAAAAACTGTTGTTATTATTGTAAGACATAGTGCTGTCTATTAACGAAAATATATGGCTTGAACAAATCGTGTTTTTCGTACTTTTGGTTTTTCCCAATTATTATAAAGACTACTTTGAATATCAGAACATAATTTCCTTTGTCAGTTGTTATATTTTAATAGGAACACAATTGATTACTTATCATTTTTTAATTAGAGCTATACTTTTGGTAGAAACTATAGTTTTCAAAAATTAAAAACCACAAAATTAGTAACGCCGCATCGTGGCACGCCGTAAATATTTACCGTTTTTCCAATAATTTTTTTTCCAGTATTACAAATTATTTTGAAAACCCCTTGGATTATCTCTAAAATATTTCCCAATGCGCCAAGCAGATATAATTTCCTTTGCCACACTCAGAATATGATTACATTCGAAAAGTTGTTTACATATACAAAAAGTATAAAAAAAAAAAATAGAAAAACGATCTCTCCATAGTATCTTTCCAGTGCAATATTATTTCAGAAACATTGCTATCATTAAAATTGGAGCAAAATTACTTGTAGAAAAGTTGCCCACAGAAAAAATATCGTAAAATATATTTATTTTATTATATTTTATATCTCCCCACGCCAATTTCCTTTCAGAAAAGGTGCTACACGTAGGAATCCGAGCCAGTCTTCTGGTAGAAAAGTTGCGCACAGATAAAAAAAAAATAAAAATCTTTGTAAAACCATAAGCTTTTTCGCTCCACTCAGAATCTAAAATAAACGACCTGTAAGTAGATGAGCTCTGTCGTTATAAAGAATCAAATTCTTCCAGCACACACAGTCACACGTCTTGACACCACTACAAAATTATATAGGAGGTACTTTAAAGAAATCAATTTTCGATTTTTTTTTTAGGAGTTTTCTCATCAAATTTGAAAAACCGAAAAAAAAAACGGATAAATATAAGAAATACAGGTATTAGTTAAAATATGTTACGCCCTTCTATTTTTCTGAAAATAACTTTTTTACAAGAAATTTTTCTCTAGGTGGCTTTCGGTATGTGGTTTCAAGTATTAAATTGAATTCTACAGGGTTATTCTGTGCGATTGATTTTGAAAAACCGATTAGATCGGATTTGATCGATAGGAGCAACTTTTTGTAATTTTGTATGTTCGAGAGATTTTCCGAATAGTACTATACGATTTTATGGAAGAAAGAAGTATCTATTTTGATAAAGCCTAGTGTATTTACTAACTTCGTCCTAGTTTTCTTCGCCTTTGCGGCAGTTGTCTTATCCACGCGTTTCCTACCTACCGCATTGAAATTTAATACCGTTATGGGATTTCGCGTGACGTAATATAGCGTGTTTGGTGGAACACACTTTTCCACAACCGGTGTTGATACACACAAACATTTTTATTCTAAATAAAAACGTGTAGTATTACAAGAATTGAAAAAATTAATACACTTGGAAAGAAAGTTGGTAGAGACATGTACAGAGGTTTGTAGTAAAATTAATGCTGACGATTGGATATTCGGATCGTTACCGATCCGATATCTAAAATATTCGATTGACATTCACAGAAAGAATTTATCCATGATCAAACAGGAAAACGGTAAACAAAAGATTATTATCTGCAAGTTCTTATAGGCACGATACGGACGGCCGTGTTCTTGTGTGCCGGCATGTGCGCGCTGTCGTCGATACATGTATACATTTTTGGTTTCGACCAACTCTTACAGGATCAAACAGGTTTGTTAAAAATATACTGTTTAAAACACGTGTCATGTATTTGAGTAGCTCCAACTTTTAATGATAAGTAAATTTCACTAGGGAGGTACTTTAGAGAGGTCATTTTTTAATTCTCTCAAGAGTTTTCTCATCAAATTGGAAAAACTGAAAAAAAGACGGGAAAATATAAGAAATGTAATTAGTTAAAATATATTACGGCCTTCTTTTTTTTTTTGTGAACAACTTTTCTACCAGCAATATTGCTCTAACTTTTAATGATAGCAAAAAAAAAGAAATTTCACTAGTGAGATCTTTAAAGACGTCATTTTTAAATTTTCTCAAGAGTTTTCCCAGCAAATATGAAAAACCGGAATAAACATGGGATAACCGGGAAAATCGTAGGAAACTAGAAAACTTGGAAAATTGGTACAACATTAAACAAATATTATTAATAAAAATACATAAAGCCTATTTAAATATTTTACTATGACATACATTGTAGACAAAGCATCACTATCAACTAAATTCCGCTCAGAATCGTTTTTTCGTAATTGATGGTTTATCGTTGCTTACAGGTATACATTAAATTATTTAAAACAGTTGCTGCACCCATCCCCATTATCTTAAGACATCTTTTTACAATTGATCTTTATTATCATTTATTAATGATAGGAGTTATCGATTGATAAACCGTATTAGGTACTGGCTAAAATTAAGTAAACAGCAACATATCCCATTTACAAAAAAAACAAGTTATTGTTATCTAATCGTTTTTTCCCTAATCACTAATTTCAACATGGCTTAGTTTACAGACTAAACATGGCT